TTAGATACTTTGCGAAGAGCAAAATGCTTGGCCAGCGTTATCGGGTGTCGTCACCGACTTTTCATTTGCAAATGTGCATGCTATTTGCAAAGCCTTTAACAGACGTACTATATCGGAATATATTCAGTTATGTTACGATAAAGCCATAGAAGGAAAATCGACAGATAATAGTGTCATTAAAATATACTTGTGCTGTGCTCATTTTATAAAATGATATGTCATGATGTTGACCGCATAGCGAAAAATGACACACAGCGTCGATATTTCAAAGATATGCTGGCAGCTGGCTTATCCATTCATAACATCAACGATTTTGATGATTTCGTTTATAATACCTATATTATCTTGAACTCCAATACAATAGTCATTTAGTTGAACGATCGAAACTATTTTTCAAAAAGGCAGCAGATGAATTCCAGCCTGAAAGTATCAATGAATTCATTTACATTGAAAATGCTATTGAAATCGACCACCAAATATCTGATGAAGCAATTCATACTTCAAGTCCTTTTTATAAGCGATATTTATTTTTAACTCAAAAAACTCAATTACGTTTGCTCCGAGGGATAACAAAAGTGAATACTTCAATGAAGATATGCTACAACTTATTGCAAAAAAACATGCCATATTGTCCGCTTTGGTCGAAATTGATGATAGAAAGTGGCCCTCTGTTAAGCAACGCTTATGTCGAAAACTATTTCGGACAGTTGAAACAAAACTCTCTCAATGGAAGGCGCAATCTGAAATGTTCAGAATTTGTCAGGATACTGAGAAGAGATATGCTGTCTTTGAGCAAGGAGAGTAACCTTCAAGTATCTAAATCACGCCTTGCGAGAAGCAAATAACTCAAACGAAAAACTTTCACAGGAGACCTGGAATAGACGGAAAAGAAATCACACATCTCACTTTAGTGGTACATATTTAAAATCAGCTGTTGTAGATCCCGACAAAGATAATAAAATCGCCATTCAGGACTGCGTTTTTTCCGAGGACGATTGCGATTTCACTCAATGCATTTATTGTGGCCATGGTACTACGGACGTTGTCACTAATTGGGTCCAGTGCTTTGCATGTAAGAAATGGGTACATGAATATTGTTTGAAATTGGAAAACAAAGTCGATATGGAAACATTCAATTTCACATGCAAGATATGCACATCAGAGCTTCCTCAAATATCCAATTCGAGTGATATCTATCAGAGCTGTGAGGAACACTTAGAGTCCATAAAGTTATCCCCAGAACGGATTTCTATGATAGAACGCGATACACGCCTTCAAAGCAACAGTATAAGATGGCAGGAAGAAAGACAGATCAGAGTTACCTCGTCGTATTTCGGAAGAATTTGCAAGGTAAGGGATGAAAACTCGTACGCTAACATAGTAGCTGCGATTAGAGGTGGAAACAGTATAAGAACTCCAGCTACTACTCACGGCCTCAAATATGAGAAAGACGCCATACAACTGTACGAAAAACAAATGAACGTTCGCTGTTCTACGGCTGGCTTGATGATACACCGTGAGTACCCTTATCTTGCTGCTTCACCAGATGGGCTTGTAGGAGAAGACGGTATTGTAGAGGTAAAATGCCCGTACAATGCTCGAAATTACAATCCCCAAAAATATGATTTCGACTTTCTGAATAAGAATGGAGAATCTATTCGAGGGATACATAATTACCATTACCAAATACAGGGTTTACTTGAAATAACTGATCGGTCTTGGTGCGATTTAGTCATTTATACGTTCAAAGGTGCCAAAGTCCTGCGAGTGACCAGGAATAAAAAGTTTTGGACGATAATGCTTAAAAAATTGAGAACGTTTTACTTGTTCCATCTATTACCTTCTGTTCTAAATTTTTCAAACCTATCCAAGTCACAAAGGAAGTGGACAACTGCCGAACCAATAAAAGTTATGGATAACGGTTTGGTAGAAAACATTTATTTCTACCGACAGTTGCCGGATAAAAGGGGTTACGTAGTATTAGTAAACAGAGATCTGTACTTTTCAATTAAGAGCTGCTTCAGGACGATTTTGCTACACTGGATGATAGGCAGTATCTAAGTAATTTCGTCGTAGATCACTGCCTGCACACAATCAATAGATCCAGCGGCAACAAATTCCAAATCGTTTCAGTTTCGAAATCATCGATAATATTTTCTGACAACAATTATCCCATTTCCTTCGTTGAAAGCGTTACGTTCACCAAAGATTGATAGTTATGCCAGTTCTCCAAAATAATCATTACACATTACTGATTTTCTCTATCACGGAAAATTTAGTGACATTTCTTGATCCCATGGGTAATGAGTTACTCTTCAAAAATACTTATTGTGAAAGACTGTCAACATTTTTGAGGTATAAAAACATAAGCATAACCAAGTTCAATTTTAAAATACCAGACCACGTTATACAAAAAGATGGTTTTAACTGCGGTGTCTATATAATACATTTTTTCCAAAAACTTGCCAAGAACATGAGGCTGGACTGTCAAGTTGATATAGATGAACAAAGGATAAATTTCAAGTGGATGTTACTTCGCAACAGCTCAGTTATGACGGATATTTGCCTATTCTGTGCCTGTTCCACAGCTCGAGACAAGGCAGATTGTATTTTCGCTTGTAGGCTCTGTAGAAGAAACATACATTTGAAGTGTCTCCTTACAGCAGCAGAATTGGAGAAAAATATAGACGTAAACGAGAAAATGCGTAATAAAATGTGACCCTGCAGAGCCAACTAACTAAATGCTTCACTTAGATAAATAAGTTTCCATTAATATATACATTTGCCTGCCCTTTCTTTAGTAGATACCATATAGCGTGATCTGGTCCACTAATTTCAGAAATTTTGGGCTATGTCGCATTCTAGGGAATTATTTCCTTGGAGGTGAACATGAATTCTAACTTATTTTTCTTATCTGCTATCTCTCCTTGTCGTCTAGCTTATAAATAGTCTCTAATAGAGTATTTTTTTGAGGTACAACTGATTTTGGGGATCATTTCCTTGGGGGTGAAAATGAATTTTTTAGCATATTTTTTATCTGCCAGCCTTTCAGAAGCTTTCTCACACCATGCCACCTAGCCTATAAATTGTCTCTATAATAGAGTATTTTTTGAGGTACAACTGATTTTGGGGATTCATTTCCTTGGGGGTGAAAATGAATTTTTTAGCATATTTTTTTATCTGCCAGCCTTTCAGAAGCTTTCTCACACCATGCCACCTAGCCTATAAATTGTCTCTATAATAGAGTATTTTTTTGAGGTACAACTGATTTTGGGGAATCATTTCCTTGGGGGTGAAAATGAATTTTTTAGCATATTTTTTTATTGCCAGCCTTTCAGAAGCTTTCTCACACCATGCACCTAGCCTATAAATTGTCTCTATAATAGAGTATTTTTGAGGTACAACTGATTTTGGGGAATCATTTCCTTGGGGGTGAAAATGAATTTTTTAGCATATTTTTTTATCTGCCAGCCTTTCAGAAGCTTTCTCACACCATGTCCACCTAGCCTATAAATTGTCTCTATAATAGAGTATTTTTGAGGTACAACTGATTTTGGGGAATCATTTCCTTGGGGGTGAAAATGAATTTTTTAGCATATTTTTTTATCTGCCAGCCTTTCAGAAGCTTTCTCACACCATGCCACCTAGCCTATAAATTGTCTCTATAATAGAGTATTTTTAGGTACAACTGATTTTGGGGATCATTTCCTTGGGGTGAAAATGAATTTTTTAGCATATTTTTTATCTGCCAGCCTTTCAGAAGCTTTCTCACACCATGCCACCTAGCCTATAAATTGTCTCTATAATAGAGTATTTTTTGAGGTACAACTGATTTTGGGGAATCATTTCCTTGGGGGTGAAAATGAATTTTTTAGCATATTTTTTTATCTGCCAGCCTTTCAGAAGCTTTCTCACACCATGCACCTAGCCTATAAATTGTCTCTATAATAGAGTATTTCTTTGAGGTACAACTGATTTTGGGGATCATTTCCTTGGGGGTGAAAATGAATTTTTTAGCATATTTTTTTATCTGCCAGCCTTTCAGAAGCTTTCTCACACCATGCCACCTAGCCTATAAATTGTCTCTATAATAGAGTATTTTTTGAGGTACAACTGATTTTGGGGATTCATTTCCTTGGGGGTGAAAATGAATTTTTTAGCATATTTTTTTATCTGCCAGCCTTTCAGAAGCTTTCACACCATGCACCAGCCTATAAATTGTCTCTATAGAGTATTTTTTGAGGTACAACTGATTTTGGGGAATCATTTCCTTGGGGGTGAAAATGAATTTTTTGCATTTTTTTTTATCTGCCAGCCTTTCAGAAGCTTCTCACACCATGCACCTAGCCTATAAATTGTCTCTATAATAGAGTATTTTTTGAGGTACAACTGATTTTGGGGATCATTTCCTTGGGGGTGAAAATGAATTTTTTAGCATATTTTTTTATCTGCCAGCCTTTCAGAAGCTTTCTCACACCATGCCACCTAGCCTATAAATTG